CAGAGCCTCTGTTATTACTTAACTGCTTTTGGGGGGGCATTGCAAATGTCCCTGCAGCTCATGTCCTGCCTAGCTGGAGTGGGAGGGTGGCGCCCTCCACATGGACTCTGATGGGAATGGTGACTCTGGAGTTGTGCAACATGGCGGCCCTACATTAGACTTTGGCAAAAGAGCTATGATTTACAAAGCATGTTCCCGGACATATCCCTGGGGGCAGGTGCCAATGTATTTTGTCAACCAAGAGGGGTTTTGGGGGTATTTTTTCATCTTGGATGTTATCCCACAGGTAATTTATATGGACATGTATCCATCTGCTGGGTGGGGAGGTTTTGGGGGTCCTTCCTGTCCTGTCTAACTCCCAGAGGAGGCATCCTCGCTGCTAACATGCTTATTTGCTTGATTCTAAAGCTGAGAGTTACCATGACCTTGTCAGAGGGGCTGGACGCCAGGCCAAGCGATTTACATACATTACGCACTTGGTGCCACAGTAACTTCATGCGGTAGGGACCGGTAGTGCCCCGAGTTTACAGCAGTGGGAACCAAGCTGTGAGAGTGGGGTGACTTGTGCACGAGCCCACAGCATAAGTGCAGGACTGGGACTGCTCGAGGCAGCCTGACCAGGACACACACTCCCCCCACCGTGACATCTGCTAATACATGTGGCTCCCCGACCTCCCACCACCCTCCACCCCCCATCCCCAAGAAAAGGGGGTCACATCCCTTCTGATTGGCATGGTCACCACAAAGCCTGAAATAAATGTTTTCATTTGGGAACTCTTTGTCAGGAAGAGAATAGCTCTGATCATGCCCATCCCTTTTGATTCCTTCTTTCCTTCCTTCCTACCACCCTGCCTGCCTTCCGTCCGTCCTACCTTCCCTCCTTCCAGTCCATAAGGCTACCCTCACTCAGGCCCTGCAGAGGACCCCTCCATTACTAAGAGCTCAGAGGATGCTTGCATGAAAGTCTCTCAATCTAGGAATGCCCTGAGCAGAGAGCACTTTGCGGAGGATGGAGGAAGGGAGAGCCCGCGGTGAAAGGTGGCTCCCTGGGAAAAGCCCAGGCTGCTACAAGCACCCTGGGCACAGGCCTGCAGAACATTTGTGCAGCTGATTGCCGTCACTTGACGGAATGAAGCGGGACGCAAATGCTTATAGAAATAAGAATGAAAAAGATGTGTGTATATTCAAGTGCCCACAAAAGTGTGCTTTGCTCTCTTTGAAAACCAGTCGGGGATACTACCCTGGCTAGCATTAGATTAAATGGTTTTCTTCCCTCTGTTCCCCACAAGTGGGGACAGAGATGAATTCTGCATTGACCAGCTATGTGATGCTGGGGAAATCACTTAACTTCTCTGAGTTTTGGATTCTTTGTCTGTAAGATGGGGATCATGAGAGAACCCACCTCGTAGGTTGTTGTGAGTGTTAAATAAGGGAGAGCAGGCAAATTGCTTAGCACAGTGTCGTTCATATCCGGAACTCCTGCTACTCCACTGGTTTCTCTTTTTACCAAGGGTCCTCTCCTTCTGTAGTCAAGATTTGAGGTCGTCATCATTGTTTCTTATACTTATCTCATATCAGAAACACCTCGTAAAATGAAGTACCCCTTCCATACTTAGACACCTGTGTGCATGACATCCCTATTCACGACAGCCAGAAGGTGGGCACAGCCATCGATGGATCAACGGCTCAACGAAATGTGGTGTAGACCCACGACGGAATATTACTCAGCTCAAAAGCATCCCCTTACTCAAAAAGGAAGGGGATTCTGACACCTGCTACAACATGGACGCACCTCGAGGACATGATACTACGTAAGTGGAGCGAGACAGTCACAAAGGGACAAACACTGTTAGAGTCCACTTACGCGAGGTGCCCGGAGCGGTCAAATTCAGAGAGACAGAAAGAATGGTGGCTGGGGGCAGAAGGAGGAGGGAGTTTTTATTTAATGGGCACCGAGTTTCAGTTTGGGAAGATGAACAGAGTTCTGGAGACTGCCGTAGAACCATGCGAATGGAATGGCATGGAACTCTATACTTAAAAACAGTTACGATGGTGAATGTTTTCAGTATTTGGCCACAATCTTAAAATTGAAAATTAAAAACAAACAAAAAAACCTAAGTACCTCCTAGGTTGTTTTTTTTTTTTAAGATTTTATTTATTTATTTGACAGAGAGAGAGACACACAGCGAGAGAGAGAACACAAGCAGGGGGAGTGGGAGAGGGAGAAGCAGGCTTCCCGCTGAGCAGGGAGCCCGATGCGGGGCTCGATCCCAGGACCCTGGGATCATGACCTGAGCCAAAGGCGACGTTAAACTGACTGAGCCACCCAGGCGCCCCCCTCCAAGGTTTTTTGGGGAGTAACAGAAATGGATGGAAATATTCTGAAAGGTTGTGGTGATGTCTAAATCCGTAAACATACAAAAATGGGGGGCGCCTGCGTAGCTCAGTTGGTTAGGCGTCTGCCTTCTGCTCAGGTCATGATCTCGGGGTCCTGGGATCGAGCCCCACATCGGGCTTCTTGTTCAGCTCTCCCTCTTCCCCTGCTTGTGCTCTCTCTCTCTCTCAAATAAATAAATAAAATCTTTAAAAAAAACATACAAAAATGGGCTGAATCGCAGGCTTACAATGAATGAAGTTTATGTTATGTAAATTTTACTTTACATAATCAAAGCCCATCAGATTTTATCCTTTAAACATGTGTAGCTGATTGTACGTCAATCATATCTCCATTAAGCTGGTTTCTTACCTTTTTTTTTTTTTTTTTAAAGTGGGCTCTATGCCCAGCTTGGAGCCCAATGTGAGGCTTGAACTCACGACCCTGAGATCAAGAGTCAGACGCTTAACTGGCTAAGCCCTCCAGGCGCCCCTCCATAAAGCTATTTCTTAAAAAAGCAGCACAGTTTCCCATATACGAACGAACTCCTTGTAGTTTTTTCATACAATGCCCCCTTTTGATGGATATTTAAGTTTCAATTTTTGTGTCCCTATAAATAATATTTCCATAAATATCTTCATATGAAAAAAATGCAAACACTGTTTGTTGCCCTTTCCCCTGCTGGCAAGCCACAAAATGAGAATTTCCCAGGCAGTGGAGCCTGGGAACCTGTAATTTTGTTGAACATTCCAGAAACATTCTTATAATCAAACATATTTGAGAAACATTGACTCAAACTTCACAAACTTGGATTTACAGGCTTGGGGTTTGAAACTCCATTTTCTCTGGTTCAGAAAAAAAAAAATCTGTAAATGCTCTATACAAGGGATTCCATATTTAGGCTTCCCTTCTGTTGGGGGTACATCGGAATCACCCAGGAGCCTGTGAGAATGCATATACCCCAATGCAGGCCCCACTCCCAGGGAGGCTGTGTAGGGTCACCAGATTTAACATAAATAAATACGCAGATTAAAAAAATATATAAATGAAATATAGAGTATCCAATTAACTCTGAATTTCAGACAAATACTAAATAATTTTTTTAGCATAAGCGATCCCTTGCAATATTTGGGACATACTTATACTAAAAGATTATTTGTTGTTTCTCTGAAATTCAGATTTAACTGGGTGTCCTGTGTTTTTTCTGGCAACCTTTAGTACGAGCCTTGGGCCTGGATGAGGCCCAGGGATCTGCATTGTTGGTCTGCTCCCCACAGGGTTCTGATGTGGGTGTGTGTGGGGGGGAGGGCTCCTTATTATCCATGTTGAGAACTCTTGATCAGGTCAACATCTTCTGGGTCAGGAGCCCCCCTCAGTGCTGCCCCAGGACCCTGGTGTGTTCCATGAGCAAATATACTTTAATGGTCTAAGGAGGATAAGGCAGCTGAGCAGCAGCTGAAAAATCTGCCTGCCCCACATCTTCAAAGCCAAATGTGATGGATGTGGCATCATGGCCCATGCAGCCTGAGGGATGCCGTCCATCTTCCTGGGGTGCACAGTTAGGGCCGCCTGTGCGCTCAAAACCCCAGGAGTCTGTCTAGATCCTCTAAATTTGATTTATTTATACCCAGCCTTGTCCCAGAAAGGATTTTAAGCTTTGGAGGCCTCAGTCCATGTAGCGTTCTTGGGGGGCGGGGAGTAAGATAAAGATGCCATCTCTCTTGGACACACGTGACAGATATTAATTGTGTGCTCACCGTGAACGGGCACCATGCTAGTTTTACAATTATAATCATCTCTTTCCACCCTCAAGGTGAGCCTGCAAGGCCCCATTTTATAGAGGAAGAAACGGGAGGTTCTGGGGGGTCCAGAGGCTTGCTCAGGAGCGCATGAGAGTATGCGAGTGGCAGAGCTGGGATTCTGACCGAAGCCTGAGCCGCTAACCAGCCCCGCTCCCCCCCCCCCCCCGCCCCCCGGCCCCAGACTGCTTCCCCTGAGAACGGTGTGTTCCCTGGGACTGAGCTTTAATGGGGAAGTTTTGTATTGCATTTTGCTTAAACTGGGGCCATATTTTAGGTCAGGATCCCAAGGATGTTTCTGATCGGGGGTATGATAACAGGTGCCATGTGCTGAGTCTCCGCCGGAGGCGGACACTGACTTTCACACTTTACAGAGAGATATCTTCTCAATGCCGTGCAGCATCGGAAGCCTGAGACCCGGGCATATAAAGAACCCTGGCTGAGGTCACAAAGCGAAGAAGCTGCAGAGTGCTGATCTGCCTAAAAAGAAGCATCCATTTCTGAGTTTTCAAAAACACACGCCTGCTTTCCTCTTGCCCTAACCAAGCTTTGCATTTCCAGGAAAACGCTATGGTTCGGGGTTCGCCCCTGTGCAACTCTTACACGTCATTCCAGGAAATGCCCAGAAGAGGGCGCTAGGACGCACACCCCCACCAGGATCCGGCTGGATTGGTGTGAACCTTGCAAGGTCTGGTGGGTCATTGTCACTTGTGTGCACAGCATGAAATCCGGGTGGCACGCTCTGGACAAGCACCACCCTTTGGATGCACGGAAGACGACAGGACATGGCGCCTCTGGCCCCCTACCCTGCAAGGGCCTGGACTCACCGAGGGTGGATTTTCAATGACCAGTTCGTAGGTCAGCCCTCCAGACCCAAATCTCAGGATGTCTCCGGGTAGCAGCTTCACGGCCACATTCTGAATGTGGCACTCGTTGACGAAGGTACCGTTTCGGGAATTGAAGTCCTGGAGAACAAAGCTGTCCTCGCTCTCATTATATTCAATAAGTGCATGATGGTTGTCAATGTCAGCAGACTGAAATACAGAAGGAAGACAGCTGTAACTGGGGCCCCAACATCTACTAGTGAGCACTGGGTACCGGAAGGTGCTAAGTCCCTCGCCTGGCCAGCTGGTCACCACAACCCTCATTTAAAAATGATGACGCTTGGGCTCTGGGCTGGGCATGGAGCCTGCTTAAGATACTCTGCCTCTCCATCTGCCCCACCCCCACAACACTCTCTCCCTCAAAAAAAAAAAAAAATGATGATGCTCAGGGTCACAGAAGTTAAGTGACCTGGCCAAGGCCACATGCTTAGTGTGTGGTGGAGCTGGGGTATGCGCTCTCTGACTCCAGACCCAGAGCAGGCGCCCAAGTTGTGAGGTGGGGAATCAGGTGGCACAGAGGCAAAGGGAACTCGGGGGAGTTCCCCGAATGAGCTCCCCTGAATGAGCACATATTCTGGCCAGGGAGTTGGCCCCTCTCTCTCTCCCTGACCCCACATAGGTACGCTTTTGGTTGTCCAGAATGGCAGGACAGAAAGCAAAAATCACCCCAAACACAAACTAGAAAGATCAGTTGGCAAGTGACAACTGTCCACTTTCCTGCAAGGAAAATACCAAGTTTGTGGAATAAGGTACCTAGAGCTAAGGGAGGAGAGAGTTTCTAATGATTGTTGTTCATTAATTTTTTTATTCATTTTGAAAATAACATTTTTAAAATGTTACAGAAAATGAGAATTGGAGAAAAGCACAAAGAAGACATTATAATCACTTAGGCTCCCATCCCCCAGAGGCAGGCACTGTTTTAATACTGTGGCTCACTTCCTTCCAGTCTTCTGTTTATGCTTACAATCTTTTTAAAAAGTTCAAACAAAATTGAGATCACACCACATAACATACAGTTTTATAACTAGTTTTACAAAACCTTGGTGTACAATGAAGGTTTTCCCATGTGATTAGTTATTTCTGTTGCTTTTTAAAAGCTGCTCAGAATTTATCTCATCGGTGATGATCTGCTTTTCAATAGGGGGCCAGGTGTGACTACATTTCCAGAAAGAAAGTGACCCCAGCCCAGAGAGTGTGTCTGTGAGTTGGCAATGTGGGGCAGAAGTCTCCTCCGTAATTTCTCTTTGGTTAGAAGAGTGAGCAAAGTTTAGCACCCAGGAGGAAAGACTACATTCCCTGGGTCATGGGGCTCTGGACTGTGGCTGTAGGGCACACATGAAGTCTTTCTCTTTTCAGGACATTGTGCCTATTAGACCTCTACCCTGGCCTGAGACTTTGCAATTAGTTTCTAGATTTATCTTCTTGGAGTGCCTCATCTGACGTTCTTACAAAGAGTACTTGCACTTAGAAAAGTATAAAGTCCCATAATACAGTACAAAGTGTAAAGTCCCATAATACAATGATACCAATAGCCTATATTGATAATATAATAATAGCTTATATTATATAGCTTATATTGTTATACAGTAATATACTAACTTGTATTAATAGAATATATTAATTCAACATTACATGCCAGGAAATTTGCTAAGTGCTCCACTGCATTATCCCATTTCATCTACACAATAATCCAAAGGGATGTTTCTCTATTTTGTAGATAAGGAAACTGAGGCACAGAATGATTAAATTTGCCCAAGGTCACCCAGCTTGGCTAGCCTGGATTGTTTTCAGATTTGGCTGGTTCAAATGTCTGTGTTCTTACCTACCCACTTTGCAAATTTTTATCATACACTTGGGTACTCAGAATATTGAAACACAAAAAGAAAGCAGGAGGAACTATATTAATGTCAGATGGAACTGACTTCAGAGGAAGAAGTGTTACCGGGGTAAAGAGAGGCATTACATATGATGATAAAGGGGTCAATTCTCCAAGAAGACATAACAATCCTAATTGTATGTGCCTAAAGATAGAGCATCAGAATAGGTGAGGCAGAAAGTGATAGAAGTTTGAGGAGAAATAAACAAATCCATTATGATAGTTGGAGACTTCAACATCCCTGTATCAGTAATGGACAGATTCAGCAGGCAGAAAATTAGTAAGGATAAAGCTGAACTGAACACCACCATCAGTCAACTGCATCTAAATGACATGTATAGATTGCTTCACCAAGTAACAACAAAATGCACATTGTTCTCAAGCTCACATAGAACATTCGCCAAGATAGATCACACTCTGAGCCACAAAACATAACTCAACAAATTTAAAAGAACAGAAATCATACGAAGCATGCCCTCAGCCTATGATAGAATCAAACTAGGAATCAATAGCCAAAGAGAGTTGAAAATTCCAAAGTATTTGGAGATTAAACAACATGCTTCTAAACAGCATGTTGGTCAAGGAAGAAGTTGTAAGACAAAGAAAAAATTATCTAAATGAAATGGAAGTACATGCAAATGAAAATACAACTTATCAGAATTTGTGGGATGCAGGAAAGCAGTGCTGAGAAGGAAATTTATAGCATAGAATACAAATGTTAGAGAAGAAAGAGTTTAGAATCAATAATCTAAGCTTCCACCTTAGGAAATTAGAGAATGAAGAGCAATATAAGCCTAAGACAAGCAGAAGAAAAAATTAGGACAGAAATGAATGAAATAAAAAAAACCAGGAAAATAATAGAGAAAAATCAATGAAACAAAAAGTTGATTCTCTGAAGATTTTATTTATTTATTTGAGAGGGAGAGAATGAGAGATAGAGAGCACGAGAGGGAAGAGAGTCAGAGGGAGAAGCAGAGTCCCTGCTGAGCAGGGAGCCCGATGCGGGACTCGATCCCGGGACTCCAGGATCGTGACCTGAGCCGAAGGCAGTCGCTTAACCAACTGAGCCACCCAGGCGCCCAAAAGTCGATTCTTTGAAAAGATTGATCAAATTGGCAAGCCTCTAGGAAGCTAACCAAGAAAAAAAGAGAGAGGGTACAAATTACTAAAATCAGAAATGAAAGAGAGACCATCACTACTGATCCCATAAACATTAAAAGGATAATAAAGTAACCTTATAAATAATTCTATGCCCACAAATTTGATAACTTAGATGAAATTGACCACCTCCTTGAAAGATACAATGTATCAAAACTCATACAAGGAGAACTAAATGATCTGAATAGGCCCATATATATTAAAGAATTTGAATCAATAATTAATAGCCTTCCAAAACAGAAAGCACCAGGCCCAGATGGGTTCATTGGTGAATTCCAACAAACACTTAAGGAAAAAATGATACCAGTTTTCTACAACCTCTTCCAGAAAATAGAAACAGAAGGAACACTCCCTAACTCATTCTATGTGGACAAAACATTATTCTAATACCAAAATCAGACAAAGATATTACAAGAAGAGAAAACTTCAGACCAATATTTCTCATGAACATAGAAGCAAAATCCTCAACAAAGTATTAGCAAATCGAATCCAACAATGTACACAAAGAATTGTACACCACAAGCAAGTATGCAGGTATGCAAGACTGGGTCGACACTTGAAAATCAATTAATGTAATCTATCACGTCAACAGGCTAGAGAAGAAAAGTCACAGGATCATATCACTGGATGAAGAAAGAGCATTTGACAAAATTCAACACCTATTCATCATTAAAAAGCAAAAACACAAAACTTTTGGCAAATTAGGAATAGAGGGGAACTTCCTCAACCTGATAAAGAACATCTTCAAAATCCCTAAAGCTAATCACACTTAATGATGAGAAACTAGAAACTTTTCCATAAGATCAGGAACAAGACAAGGATGTCCCCTTTCACACTCCTTTTTAACACAGTACAGTGTCCTAGCCAGGACATGCAATAAGACAAGAAAAGGAAATAAAAGGTACATAGATTGGGAAGGAAGAAATAAAACTGTCTCTGGTTGCAGATAACATGATTGCCTACGCAGAAAATCCCAAAGAATCAACAAAAACACTCTTAGAATTAATAAGCAATTATAGGAAGGTTGCAAGATACAAAATTAATATACAAAAGTTGATTGCTTTCCTGAATACCAGCAATGAACAGCTGGAATTGGAAATTAAAAATACAACACCACTTATGTTAGCACCAAAAAAAAAAAAAAAAAAAAAGGAGGGGGGGAGAAAGAAAGACCAGACAGACAGACTTAGGTACAAATCTAACAAAATATGTAAAGATCTATATGAAGAAAACTACATGATGTTTAGCATCTTTTCATGGGCTTATTTGCCATCTGTATATCTTCCTTGGTGAGGTGTATATTCATATCTTTTGCCCATTTGTAAACTGGGTTGTCTGTTTCTTAATTGTTGAGTTTTAAGACTCATTTATTTTGGATACATGTTTATAGTATTCTTATTCATAACTGTCCCAAACTGGAAGCAACCAAGGTGTCCTTTAAAAGGTAAATGGATAGGCAAATTGTGGTACATCCGTACAATAAAATAATAGTGATGAAAAGAAATGAACTATCAAGCCACAAAAAGACATGGCGGAACCATGTAAATGCACATTGCTTAGTGAAAGAAGCCAGTCTGAAAAGGCTACATAGTGTACAATTTCAACTATATGAAATTCTGAGAAAAGTAAAACTATAGAGACGGTAAAAAGATCAGTGGTTTCCAGTTGGATGGAACTGGAATGAACGGAATTCCAAATGGAATTCCAGTTGGATGGGTTCATCCCATCCAAAGTGGTGGATGTGGGATGGCATGAATAGGGGAAGCACAGGGATTTGGGGGCAGGGAAACTATTCTGTATGACACGGCAGTGGCGTATACTTATTATATATTTGCCAAAACCCACAGAATATGCAATGCGAGGAGTGAGCCCTAATGTAAACTATGGACTTTAGTTAATAATATATCAATATGGGTTCCTCAGTGGTAACTAATGTCCCATGTTAAAGCAAGATATTAACAATAGGGGAAGCTCTGTGTGTGTTTGGGGGGGTGGGTATATGGGAACCCTATGTACTATTTGCTCAATAACCTATAAACCTCAATCTGGTCTAAAAAAGAAACATTTTTCAATATTAAAACACATCAGTTCTTTGGGAAATGCCACTCACGTCGTG